GGGGGGGGAAGAAGAATTAACGTTGATTTTTATTTATTTATTTATTTATTTCACGGTACCAGCAGGGAGAAATGGAGGGGGGGATGAGGGGGAACTGGCCAACTGTGTTGAGGGATTTGTTGTTTTCTGTCAGAAATGTGCGTGGCACCTGTCCCTTTCTCTCCCCGTACGTCTCCCCCGGGAATCACTGACTTCACTCACCGTGATTCCCCTCCGGGGCCGCTGGGGCGGCGCGGCTGGAGCTGAGGGTGACCCCCCGGAGCTCCGTCCCCGTGCCCGGCTGGCGAGTGGCTGGCCAGCGGCCGGCGAGCTGGTGGCATCCTCAAACCAGCTTTCCTAGAAGGCTCGGGGTTGTTTGGGTTTTTTTTGTTGTTGTTTTTTTTTTTTCCCCCAGACAATTGGAGCAGGCTGTTCTTCCTAGATAGCTGTTTCTCAGCGCACATGTTCCTTCATGAAAATGGGATTATTTTTGTAAGTGACAGAAGCAGCACGAGGAGCTCATTACACAACTTGATGTGTACCAAGGACCAAATTCATTTTGGCTAGGCAGGGATTTATCTTTCGTTGTCCTCTTCTGCTATGTGAAAGCATGGTGCTTCCAGAAGATAAATTCCAAGGTGAAGGCCAAGTTGTTTAACTTGCATTAAAGATTATACTGGTACAGGGCAGTGAGCTTGTTTTGAATGATGTATCCAATGTTGTGCCTCAGGTCTTGGAACGTGGTTGGGTTAATGCACCTGAATGTTTTGGCCTGTTCGGACACTGGGCTTTCCTTCCTGTACTTATGGGGACCATAAGGTTTGTGACCTATGGGAATATTTCCCCTCCCCACTCCACCCTCAGGTGTTGCCCATGAAAAATGGTGGTCTCCATCAATCTGAATGAGGACTAATAAATGAAGGGCTGAGATTTTTTGCATTCTCATTTGTTTATTTTTTTTCTCTACTAGTCACAATGTGAAATGCAAGAAATTCCATGGTGGGTGAACATAAGAAGTAATAGTAGCATACTAGCTGCTGGGTAGCGCATTTTGTTGTCAAGCAGGGCTGTAATTCCATTTGAGAATAGGCTGTGTTGTTTTCTGAGTGATTTATTTCAGCCATTGAGTTAAAAAAAAGTTAACATGCAAAACTTAAAATGTTCTGAGCACGTGGACATATTCCGTTAAATGCCTGAGGGGTTTACAGCACTCTCCAGAACCTGCATGAATTCCACTTTCATCAAAGCAGTAGATTGTGTGTCACAAATAGCAAGCTACCTGCAAAAGAACACTTGGCTGTAAAATAGAAATGTTCAGCTCTGCTACAACTACAGTTGCTTTAAAGGGCTGTATAATCACTAGTGAGCTGTGCGAGGTGCACACTTGCTGTTTGACATCAGTAGACCCGCTCAACTGCTTCACAGTTACTGTTAGGTTGCACAATAGCATGTGTGTTTTGGAGGCTTCCCTTCATGCCAGAGGAGCCTATATAGCTTCTGCTTGTCATTCCTCGCTGGAAATGGCCATAGGGCTGAAATGTGATCAGGTCACCAAAGTGTGCTTTCAAACACAGCAAAATCAATTTGCCGATCTTCTTGACCTGAGTCTGTAAATACAGAAGATTGATCAGGATGATGATGGACTTGCGGTCTAGTCTGGGAGACTGAGTGAGAAAAATGCCTGTCGGCTTTGGCCGGTGAAGTATGCACGTTAATGTACATGGTGCAGAACACGTCAAAGGTGGGCTGATGGGCTGCTCTACTAAGACATGTTGATGACAAATAATGTTTTTAGTTGAATCAGTTTTGCAGTTGACCATCATTATAGATGATTATTTTTCTCCATCAGCTTGTGGACAAAAAGAATCTTTCTTTTAAGAAGAATGTGTGCATGCATGGTAAATAGTATATATCAGTAAAATTGCCAGTTCTATGCGCTCTCTGCATTCACTAGGGGATGAAACCAGTTGAATCATATATATACACACCAGTTAAATCATGTGTATACATTTTGTAGTATGGTACTATAAATGGAGGAGATGGAGGATATGTTGCTATTAGCACTAAGCCAGATGAATAATTCTTTTGAAGGTCTGGAATATCAATGATCCAATTGAAAATGTGTCAGCTGAGATGAGTCATGTGTTAGCCTCATTCAGTGACTAAGAAATGGAACAGCCATCGATGTCCAAGCTGAGTCACAGCTGCTGCATATTTCCTGAAATAATTTTTGATTGATAATGACGGAACAGTTGAAATTGCTGTATTTGTTTGTATTGTAATTTGCAGTGCACAGAACACCAGTATACACACTGTTTAAAAGATTAGACAAGCAGCTAGAACAAACTGAAGTGGTATTTCACATAGGATGTGTAAAGAAGGAATGGTGTCCCGTAATTATCTCCCTTTATTTTTCTTTTCTCTGTTATAATTATTTCTCCCTTGTGCCACTATATGGGTGCGTCATGAGGAATGAGGCAGAAGTGACCCTTCTGACTCTGTGACTGGGAGATAACAGCACTTCAAAAAAACTGGTAGCAAATAAAAGAAATGCTAAGTATATAGCCGACAGCATATCAGTTTTGTTCTTAAAGGCAGTCTTGTTCATACACTGCAAATGTTTCTGGATAAAAAGCATGAGACTGATCATTTTAAATCTTTCCACTTTTTTTTTTTTGTTTTTTAAGATTGTCAAGCGATTTGCTGGCCGGGCTAAGAGGAAGGGTTTTAAGAATGTCTTCTTACTTGCTCTGGTTGTATTTCATTAACTTCAGTAATTAATTTCAGTGGAATTTTACAGTGAAATAACAAAGGTCAAAAGCAGCACCTCTGCAAACCTAAGTGTGAAGGATGGTGTGCATGAGATAGTATTTTGCAATGGAAGGCATTGAGTGCATCCTTGAGTGCATGGGACAGAGCAAGGAGAACCGAGTTGACTGTTGCTGGTCTGATGGAGAAAGAAGTCAAGATTATAGCTTTCTATCTGCAGGACTTTCCACACTTAAAGAAAAAAGCGCAGCAAAGCTAAATGACAAGTATAGAAAGTAATAGTCAAGATCCTCAAAATTGATGTTAATGCAGAGCATTGCAAACTTAGAAAGTCAGATTCAAAGATACTTTCATGTTTGATAAACTCTGCCTCCAGAGATGCATAGGTAATTCAGTCTGAGCAGTTCAGGCCAGTATCCCTGCTCTTTCACAGAAATGTTCTTGCAGAACCCCTCTGTCAGTGTATCGATCTTGGTCATTCATATCCTTTCCTATCTTCGTTTGCATCCAGCTCTTGATTAAAAACACACAACTGCAAGAAACTGCACTTTTTGTCACTGGGTCACTTTGCATTGACACTTCTTCCTCTGCATATGCCCTTACTTAAAGTTCCGGAGTCACTTTCTCTGGCTACACAGCAGAACAGGCTATGTTGGATTGTACTGATACAAGAAATAAATCGTGCTTATTCTCTAAAAGCATCACTCTTCATGAGACATGTTTTCTTGTGATGCTCTGTGCAGCCAAACTTCCCTTTTCCTGTGTCTGCTGTAGGTTGGATTTCAATGGAGGACTTGATAAAGTTGGGTATCTTGGAGGTAGTTACTGAACTAGACATTCATCTTTGGGCCTTCTAGGTTATTCAAAGGAAAAAAACCCAACCAATTGCTGGTTTTACCATACTATGTAATTGTGCTTTCAGGTCTATTGGTGTTGGTAAGGCTTGTTCAAATTTGGCAGGTAAAATAAAACAACTGATTTCTGTCCTTATTTGAAAGTGGAGAAGAATGGAAACAAATGCATGTATGAGAGTAACAAAGATGTGACAACACATAGACATATAGGAGATTAAAGATGAAATGAATGAAGAAGAAACTCTCTGTAAAGTGAATAGAAATGATTAGAAATGCTGATCAACACTCTATGTTCCAGCTTGTAATTAAAATGATAAACCCATGTGATTTAGGTATTTTACTTAACTTGTGTAGTGTTTTTTCTCTCCTTATCACACCTGTTCTACTGTCAAGTCTTGGAATTTCATTGTAATAGAGATGAACTCTCTGTTTTATTTAATATTCCTGCCTTTTATTGAGGATAAAGACAGACGAAAGAGAAGTGGAACTAGAACAGAACTGAATTGCTAGTATTATGTCGTTAGATGCAAAACTGAATGTGTGCCCTTTCAAAAATTGTCTGACAAGTTATTTTGCAAGAATGAATGTTTCTAAAAAGAGCTGCAATAAAGTATTTGTAATCATATGTCATTATCAAATAGCTATGGTCTTTGCCATATCCACCTGTCTGCTTGTTGCCTACTTGTTATAACGTCACAGTGCGTGTTCCTACGTAGGATTCTGCATCACAGGTCTGCCTCCAGCTGCCCTTTCTTGAAGCAGTGTAAAATGCTCACAGTGTAGAAAGATGTTCAGAAGAACATCGCTGAAGTTAATGTACACAGACAATGGCTGCCACCGTGTATATTGTGGGGTTTTTGGTTTTGTGGTAGTTTCCCCCCCAAATGATGACTGCCTTGCAGGGATTTTGTTATTTGGAATTCCTCTTTCATTACCAACATTAGCAATGGTGAGGTGGTCTTAGCCACTGGATAAGCAGTGGCCTTTCCAAAATTATTTCAAAGCTCCCAGCTTAATTGTGCCAAACTCCTTTTAGCCTTCCATATGGTTAATGTTATGAGCTTTGTGTTGAAGCATGTTGGTTTTTTGGTTTTTGTTTTTTGTTTAATTATTTTTAATTTTCCTCCTGAGTTTGTCAAGCTAGATTGTCAAAGTTCTGGTTTTGAAAAATAATCTATAACCTTGCCTTTGCAGAACTAAAAGGTTGCTCTTAAACCCTCCACCACAATTACAAATCTTTACATTTGGTGGAATTTCTCTCCCTCCCCCGCCCCCCGCCAGTGACCTACATCTCATGAATGCTGTCTTGTCTTCATGCTTATGCTCTGTGTCTACTCTGTCTTTTTGTTTGTTGGGTCTGTTCAGTCTGTTTGTGTCTTGATTAGTACCTGACTAAAGCTCCATCTTATAAATAGTTGTGCACATCGGTAATTTTATATATCCAAGCAGTTGCTGGTATCGTATGCACGAGTGGGACTGGCTGTGTGCATAGCTTCATAGTCGGGGGAGTTAGCTTGCAGCAATTTCAGCTAACAATAAATACAGGGCTGTGTTTTGGAACAATGGATTAATGCTGAAACACATTTCAGCTAGTTAGGAGTTTTAGAAGTTTTAACTGTATATGGCATTTGTCCCAGTCATCAGTATATGCACACAGAACGGTACCTTTTTGGGGTTTTTTTTGTGGCTGCCTAGAAAACAAAAAAAAAATCTACTTAATAACATCGGATAGCATATAAAAGACAAAGCAAAGATGCTCCAAGATTTTTGCAAAACTGAGACTGTAGGGGAAGACCTGTATTTCTTCTGAGCAGCAACCCTGAGGGCTCCAAAGACCTAAAGAACCTTTGCAAAACTGTACAAAAGTGATCCAGGAGGAACAGTTTTAAAACAGCAGCCTATCCGATACTTAATAGGTTCATGCTGAAGTTTGGACTCCTGCCTGAGACGAACACAAGATTCATTCCTGGAGTCACTTCAGAGGTTGGGACAGTTACATCAAGTTGCTCTTGGCCCAAAACATCTATAATGTGTGAGGTTTGGGTTGGTTGGTTTTTTTTAAATTGAGCTGGGTTTACTTGCCAGCTAGTAATGCATTCATAGAAATCATAATGTTTCACTGTAGTGAATTTTTAAATGCCCTTTGTGAATTTCTACGTGTGACTCCTAAACAGTCTTGTGAGCTTTGGGGCTGATGACAGATGTGGTTGCCTTGCATGCCTTACTCTACTGCCCAGGGCCTGCACAGCACAGTGTCAATTCAGATCTGTTCCACACATGAAGAATGTGACTGTCTGCTGGGTCCCTTTTATGCTGCGGCACCCAGCTTTTTAATGCTGCCCTGAAGTTTTCTGGCTTTCTCATCACTCAGGTCAAGTTTTCCTCCTCTGCTTTGATCTATGGTAATGGTCTTGATTTTATTTTTTTCCTGTGTTTTACAGCGGTTTGAACTTTATTGATTTGATGGTGCGACAGGGGAATATCGACAACCCTCCTAAGACACCACTTGTTCCTGGGTTTGAATGCTCTGGAATTGTAGAAGCTCTTGGAGACAGCGTGAAAGGATTTGAGGTAATATTTTATTTTCAGAGCAAGACTGAATAATCACCAGTTCGCTGAGTATGTTGTCCCTAATCCCTTCTGGTCTGCCAGCGACAGCAGCCTTCACCATCCTGTTGAGATTTGAAAGGGCAATTTTTCCTTGCTGCGTCCCAAGCGTGAGAATGACCTCTTGAATTAGTTTCTAAAGCCATCACTGTCATCTCCTTGAAATCCTTCCTGAAAAGTCACTTGTGCCATGTGCATATCCTGATGGCTAAATAGGAACGGGAAATCATGACTGATGTGTTTTAAGAAAGTAAAAGAAATTGTGTTAACTTGTTAAGTTTCTTTTCTTGGCCGTGTTTGCCATCATCATTGCTCTGTTCCTCAGAGCCCATGTGCTGCTGATTCTAGTTCCAGCTTTTGATCCTGAGTTAACAAGACCCCCATGTACAATAAGCGTTGCTTCTTACAACCATGCGTGTTCATGAGACAGGTAAAATTGGGACCCTGATTCTGGGTATATGACTTACTCTTATCACTCAGGAAAAGGCTCTGTTTCACCTAACAGAATAGTGGTAAATGCCAAATAGATAATGTATATAATAAAGCTTTCATAACTGTTTGGCATTATGTGCTCTTCGGTGTCTCTTATTACATATAAACAGATTCTGTCCTACCTCCTATTCTGTTATTGATGTTAAACATCTATATTCCTTCCAATCTTGCACTTTATTTTCTAAGTAGATAGGAAAATTCTGAAATAAAAACTGAGTTAATGCACATCAATCCTATCAGCTATTCGCTGAGTCAGTCATGTAATCAAGTAATTGCATTTTCTGAATTCTTATTGTATCTTGATCTTAAGAAGGCAATTACCTAAAATATTTTTATTTAAAGATAAAATTTTTGCTCTTTTAGAAGAGCTGTAAAATTTCTCAGTTGAGTGAAGGTAAGCGGCCAATTTAGTTTCTAGTAGGGTCTCAGTGGTGAGCTCTTCTTGGGACATTTCTCTGCTTTCTCCCTCCTGCCCCCTATCTGTCTTGAAACAAGTCATAATCTTCCAATGTTTTTTGTGACAAACAATAACTGAACAATAACTTTGCTGTTTGAAAAACTCTACTGCTTCAGTTGTTCTGCTCTAATATCTGTGTTTTATAGTTATGCTCCACATTGAAAAATATTCTGTGAAAGGAGTATAGAAAGTCTCTGCTCTAGATCAGCATTCACAGTTTAAAAGTTCCTGTTATATTTGAAGGGCATTATGAAGCTACAGCATATGGTGCTTGTTTGAATAACATTGCACCTGACTGAATATACTGTGTCTCTTTGAAAGTTAGGTCTTTGTTCTGACTGTGCATGTTTGTGCTTCGGGTACTCCCTGAAATTGAAACAAGTGGTGGTTGTTTTATTTATTGCGTATAATCTGCATAGCTGTGATAGTGCTTGAGTGATCTAGAAGGAGGGTCAACACTCAGGATAACTGCTGTGCACAGGTATGAACCCACCAGCAGGAGGATCTACCATGGGGAAGATGCAAGAATTTTGTTCACGGATTTCTTGCTCAAAATAGGAGCACGGCAGATGCTTGTTGTCTCTTTGACATATGCTGTTACCTCTCTCCACAGTAGTGGCAGGAATGGCAAAGATTGCACCCTACATCTACTGACCTTCTTTCCCTTTGTAGATCTTTTCCAGTTCAAGTCGTGTTAAAGTCATGGGGATTTCATGCTCTGGAAAATGTCTCTGACTGGCCCTTAGTCTGCACTACCCGAGATATTACACCTGAAATATTGCCCGCCATTTATTGTCTTCACTTGTTGTGATCGCGTTATTGTATGACAAATGACAGCATAGAATGGCAGTCTGTTTTGACAGCAATGTGTAAGAACATACTTTACATTGAAAGGAAGCCTTTTTTTAGGGAATAATGATGTAATGCCCATTCCTTCCCCCACTAAAAGAAAAAGCTGATTTCTTCTGAGCTCAAATGTATCAGGCCTGGTCTGTCTAGTTGTGGGGATGATTCGCAGGAGCTCAGGCCTAATCTGACATGATGACTAGGCTCTGCATAGTGTGGGCGGTAAAATACGGTATTTATTATTACCAAGAAATCCCTTGGGAATCATCGAGAGGGACTTCTCTGCATTCTTTATGGTAATCATTTATGTTTCTTTGCAAGGATATAGCACATTAACATCTTCACTATTTAACCCTAGTTAATCAGACTTTAGGTTTTAGGCGCTTCTCTAACAGCAAAAGGGAACCACAGAGTGGTTACCAGTGAGGCATTGTTAATTTGAATGTGTTTTTCAAAAGGAGGAGGCATTTTGGTGAATTTGGAATGACAGTTCTGTTTCAGCATCCTCATTCTGAAAGAGACAAACCCTTCAGAACTGTCAGCAGCACCTTAGCTTTTAGCAAACCCGCAATATCCCAAAGCCAAAGTGATGACAAGTACTTGGGAAACCAACCTGTGCCTGTGCTATAAACATTTGCCTGAAGGCCAAAGTGTTGTGCTTTACTCCGTTGGTGTAGAATATAGTTGAAATGGTCCAAGAATAAACTGTAGTATTTCTAAAGTGTTAGTGGGTATTAGTAGAATGTAAGATAGAGAATACCGGGCAGATAAGCAAAGGTATTTTAGAGGGTATTTTAGTTTTAGATAAAATATGAAGTCCTGAAATTTGATGCTATGCCTGCCTTATTACTGATACTGTGGCTCCATTGAAGAGCTCCTTTCATGATTAAGGGTGCCGTTTTTGTTGGTCTATTATAGAAAGGTGAAGAGGTCTAAGTCTCTAAGTCAAGGTAAAAGATGTGTAGGGGCTGTTGGTGACAAGCCGTTATGAAGAATTTGTAAAAGTCGTGCCTGTGAAGATTTTAATATATATTGGCCAAACGTTTGTGCACTGTGGCTGTCCCTAGTAGCCCCAGCAGACTAATTTCTAATTTTACGCAAGTGTTGCTTTTTGAGTCTGGTTGTAGCCCTGCAGGAGCCTCAGAGCTCCAGTTTCCTTGTTATTATTCTTGTCCATCTGTGGGGAGTCACTATCTCCATTATAAACTTGAAGCTGCAATGAAGGCCATTATACAAATGTATGAATTTGATGTGCCTGGACCTCTGAAGGGTTCCTGGGAGCAACTGACTGTATCTAATATTAACATAAAATCTTTATTTCTCCGTAGCGAAATACCCGTTCACTACTGTATATTTTCCAAAGAAATTGAGTAGAGAAATGTTGCATTCAAAGAGAATATTTCATTGCTCCTTTAAATTCTGTCAAATTCACTTTGTAGGCTTAGTAGTGCCTCAGAATCCAGAGGTATATTTTTGTTTAAGGTGGCTTATTTGAAGTTGCAGGATCAAATTCTGCTCTGACACATGGCTGTAGATGTGGCAATCATGGAAATGTATTGGTAGAATCAGTTATTAAGATAATAAAAATAGAGAGTGGATACAGATGGTGTTATCTTCTAAATGAATGATTTCTGAACCCTTTCGTGTGCTCTATCTACCAGAGTACAAGGCCTCCCCTTCTCAGTCCACAGACAGGAAAAGTAGCTCTAAATTAGTGTGAAGACTGAGAAAGCAAAGTGAAAATTATTTTAGGTGTAATTTTGATTGTTCCATGCATATCATTAATATCATTGTCAGCTTTTTTTCCTTTTTTTTTTTCTTCTTTTTCTGTAAGCAAATTTCCAGGTTATTAGTAAGAATGCTGTTTTCATTGTTTACAGCCCTGTTTCTTACTTACGACCTCTGCTAGCAAAAGATGTTCTGTATTAGTGATGATGGAAGACTGTTCCATCAGAGAAGCAGTGGGTGGCTTTAACTTTGTTTGGATATTTTTGTTAAATTCAACTTTTTAAATAAATACAATTAAAAAATGGTAAAAGCCTAAGGCTGAGCAGCTTAACTGCTATTTTGCCAAAGATGTGGAGCACCATTATCTTCACAGTCAGTCAGTGACCCACGCTTGAACAGGAGAGTTGCAGGTCAGCAGGTCGTGCAAGTTGCGCTCTACAGTCTCAATTCCAGCTGTATCCTCAATGTTGTTTTCCTCCTTGTTTGTAGATTGGAGACAGAGTCATGGCTTTTGTGAACTACAATGCATGGGCTGAAGTAGTATGTACCCCAGTAGAATTTGTCTACAAGATCCCAGATGACATGAGTTTTTCTGAAGCTGCTGCGTTTCCCATGAACTTTGTAACTGCCTACATGATGCTCTTTGAAGTTGCGAACCTAAGAGAAGGCATGTCTGTGCTGGTACACTCGGCAGGAGGTGGGGTGGTAAGTTGGAACTTTTCTTACTTTCCTGTCACCAAGTAACTGAGGCAGTCTGATGCATCTTGATTTCTGAAACGAGCCAGACCCTGCAGTTTGATTCGATATCAACTTCTCTATGCGAGCGATTGCGATGGGAGGAACTGCATCTGTTTTCCCATCAAAATGGTGATGAGAATGGTTGGCAGAAGCTTTTGGTGAAATAAAAATGTTCTGACAATAAACTCTACGCAAAAACCTCTTCAAAACCCCCTGACTGGTTGTCAGAGATCAAGGAACAAGTGTTGTCCCAAGCCTTGCATTCCTGAACTTAGGCACCTGTACTTCTATGTAAAAAAAGGCTGTAGTGAAAGGAATAAATAAATCAACTCCCTGTACAAGGTATTTTTGGGTAACCATAATCCTCCTTGCAGTAAATGACCCTCTTGGAATACTCCCGCAAATACCATGTGCGAGTGTGTGTGATGCTTTCTCTGTGAAAGACTTTTTTTTTTTTTTTCCTTTGTCGTAGAGGGATTGAAAGCAATGAAAAGCATTATCATGCCAACCCTGAGGAAAATATACAAATGCGAAATTTGAGTCAGTGGTGGCTGCCGCATGCCATAGTTTGGATGATTAGTAAGGAGGCATTGTGTTGCATGGGAAAAGCAACAGTAGGATGAATTCAGTGGAATACCAGGCCACACAATGAAATAAAAAGTCAGCATTTTGTGTTACTGGTTCCTTGAACTATTTTTAGAAAAAAACTCTCTTCTTTGGAAAATACTTAAGCTTGTGCAAAATCTTAAGATACTGACGGGGAAGTGTGTTTACATTTGAAATTGTGCAGTCCTTTTCCATACGACAGGTTTTATGACCTGAGAACATAAGCAGATCTCAGCCTTTCAAACTGGAGTACCTCTTCTGTTTTCCTGTTATGCCTTATTTATGCTAAATTCACATTCTGTTGTCTGCTGAGGTCTGGTGGGCAGCCCCAAACACCTTATCCCTAATTCTGTGCCCTTAGACCCTCTTTCAGGTTCTCGTATAAAAGAAGGCTGTAATCAAAGGAATAAATTCATGAGTTCCCTGTACAAAGTATTTTTAGCTAACGATAATCCTACTTGCAGTAAATGGTCCTCTTGGAATACTTCTGCAAATGAATGGAATTTATAATCGTATTATGCTTCGGCACAGTACAACCTAGAGTGTTATGGCTGACTTTATTGTTCTTTAGTATTAAATCTTTTCATGTGGAATTTAGGACTGTTAAAGCAACATGAGGCCACAACATTCAGGGGGACTGTATATTCTACAGGAATCAAAGGCTCAGCTTTAGCTGTAAGGCCATTTGCCCACCTGACACTATACAGACCCAGGCTGGGCATACAGAACACCCAAAAGCAGTCCCTGCACGAATGCATGTATCTAAAGAAAATTAATTCCTTCTCCTTATTAAGATAAAGTGTCCTTCCTAAATTTCTTTATCTCTTTCTCTCTTTCTCTTTCTAACCTCTGTTATTTCTTCCTTTTCATCATGAAGCACTGTTAGTGCTCTACCAACTCTCACATAGTCGTCTTCACTAGTGCCCCAACCTCTGTGTGGGGCTGTTCCTGTAAGGAGCCGTCAGCTTCCTCTCCTTTATCGCAGATGCTCAACGAGCAGCTTTTGACTGGTCCTCTGCTGTGGCTGCTTGTGGACCTTCTCTGAGAGAAGCCAAAGGAAGGATGGGTCCTGGTTAGCTGCCAGGAGAACAAGGAGAAACCAGATCCATTGCCTGCTAAGTAGTTAAATAGAACAGTTTCCAAGGGAAAGATCAGAGATGCAGGAAGAACAGCCAAGCTGGCCAATAACAGATAAAGGTCTGTGTGTGATCCGGGGGGGACTGTACGTAGGAGGGAGATGGGGCTGGCTGGCCTGCAAGACGGGATGCTCATGGCTGTGTCACGGGGCAGAGGGCCTTGTGCAGCCTGTTGTTCCTTGCAAGGGAAGAGCATGTATAGCTAGAATTGGAAAGGAAAGACTTTTCCTATTGCTTAATAAGTCTTACAGGTAAAAATATCACTCTGGAGACACATGGAATTGTTTCATTTCTGCTAACTAGACATAAAGATTTCAGAGGGGTCTGTGTTACTCTTTAAACCACTCTAATAATCTGTCTGTTAATCTTTTGAAAAATTTAACAGCCTCAGTCGAACAAATCATTCTCACAAAGTTCTTAGTTAATAAAACGGAAAACTGACACTGAAATCGCTATGGGAAGAGGTATTTTTTGTGCTGTTGCTTTAATATAGAAGGCCCATTCCCACTTTCAGCAAGTAGGAAACCTGTCCAGTTTGTTTCTAAATGTCATAGAAATTCCAGAACACTTTAATGAGACAATAGACTCCCTGTGGGACTAGAAGTTTGTAATTGTTCCTTTCTCATTATGCAAGATCATGATTTTAGCTGCTTCAGGCAGTTTATGGAAAAGAACTTGTTGCTTCAAAAATGTGTGTGAGGTTCTTTGTTCTGGCTCCACAGTCCCCTTTAGGAGGATCCTGAAGCTTTTTCAATAAATTGAGTCAGGGAGAAGTCTCTAGGACCTTTACTTATGTATTACCTCAGTTTGTTTATGTGGCCTTATTTTTGTTTATAGATATTTTTGGTAGTGAGGTAACTATAGCAATTGTCTTCCCATCTGTGCCTGGGGTATGATTAGTATGTGACAGTATCCTTTAATGTCTGACAGGATGCTTTAGATAAGTGAGTTTACTTTATTTCCAGAAGTTCCAGGGGACATCAGAAGCTGATGTAGAGAAAAAGGAAATGTACCAAGATAACTTATCTTGAAAGAAGTCTCATATACCTGTCTGTCTGTTACAGAGACTTGAACCCTGTTCCCTATACCCAGTGAGTACCCTCCCTGCCACCCACGCAGCTGGGTCTTCCCTGTTCGTGGTAGTAAACGTGGCTAGTTGTAGGGCAGCACCTTGTCTCTCAGAACCAGGAGGAGAGAGGTGGACACACAGAAGCCCTGCTTCCAACACTGTTGGTATATTGTAGCCTTCCATCTGAAGAGGAGGACTCACTGCAGTGCTTAGAAAGGGGAGATTGCATTTGTTTCCTAGGGCCAGCTTGTTGATTTTGGTTGTTTGGAAAGGGGGCTGCTTTTGGTTTTGGTTTGGCTGTCCTGTCTCTTTTTCTCTCTTGAGATAGGGGCGGTTAAGAGAGACTGACTCTCACCTCTCAACCTGGACAGTGAATTAGGCTGGAGAAATTCTAGGGGCCTTCTAGGAAAGCGTGGTACAGGCTCACAGTCGCATTGCGTGATTCAGTCAGACTTCGACGAGAAATTAATGCCTTGCAAAGCATTCTGTTCTTGTGGCTCGACCAAGATCTAACAAGGACAACGGTTGTCATATGCTCCCTTTCGGGCCTCTACTTGGCAGTACTCTTAATGCCTCTGTTTAAACCGTTATAGTGAGTAGCAGGGCAGTTCGATAATTAACAAAAGATATAATTGTGTAATACAAATAGAGTTTAAATGCTTAAAGCTGCAGAAATGTTTAAGTGTCCTTCTGAACTGATCGCTAAAATAAGGAGAAAGTCAGCTAACACTGAACTTCAAAAACTTCCTATTATCCGTACATAGAAATTAATGCTCAGAAATACAAGCTTGCAAGAATATACGACTTACTGTAGGACATATATTGGCCTATCTTAGCTGTAAAATTCTATAATTACTGTTTGAAGTGACCATAAGACAGAGTAGCTCCCTTCTCAAATATACTCCCACGTCCTTTTTTCAAGTGAAGCAAAGTGGCGATTGAAGAAAATACACTGAGAAAACTGAGCAGTTGCATGCACCCCGCTGGGACTGATCTGCTGTATGAAGCAATTATTTCTTTAAAATGAAGACTGTTTAAGTCAGTGCGTTCAGTGCAAGTCACAGCGCTGGCTTGTATGAGATTATAAAGTTGCTCTTAAAATTATTGATGTGAACTTGTAAACTGTATCCTGGATTAGTTGAATTAGTATAAATACTGTTGTATTAAAAAAACCAAACAACACCCCCCAAAAAACCAAAGCAAAAAAACCTTAGGCTCTTTTCTTCTAACTTTAATAAATCTAGTCTCTATCTCTATGATATCTACCTGGAAAATTCTTTGAGGGATTTAGATTTGTGAGAGACAGACTTTATGCTCACTTGCTTATTTGTTTGCTCTTTATGTTCTTCCTATTCTTAATATTTAGAGCTCAAAACTGTGGTTATTTACCAAGACTGTGTAAACACTTCAATTTAATCACTTAACCCTTCAGACACAAGGCAGAATTATTAGCCAGTTCTTTAGCATTTTGACCTTACAGGTACTAAAATTAAGCTGACTTTCATGAAAAAGCATCAATTGCTATCCTGAAGATCTGACCTTCCCTTTCAGGCTCAGCAGCAGAGGAAGTGCAAGCAGAGTAAGTTACAGACACAGCTCTCATGTTTGAATTTGAAGGGTAAATCTGACTTGGCAACAGATTTAGGTCATCCTGGCAGGTTTGGTTACTGTTTGGCAGGAGCCCTCTTTTTTTATTGTGTCTCCCCTGCATAAATTGCAAATATTTGAGGATGCATTCCAAACTGAATCACTGAAGTGGTGATATTTTATCTGACAAAGAACTGGCACTCCTTAGTAAATGCAGTCACCCGCTATCACAGGCAGCATATAGGAGCCTTTTCAAGAGAATTATCAAATTTCTTAAAAAAATATCTATGTGTTTATCCCTTCAAATTCTCTCTGCTCTGTCTTGCTCAGTGAGAAATCTTTCTCAATTTCCAGACTTTATTTGTGGCTGGTTAATGTATCTTTGTTCTTCTGCTAGTCTTCTCCATTAATTAAAATTAGCTATTCATTCCTCCTGGGGCGCTTCTTTCAGATCTTTTTGGCAGGATGGTGTCTTTATGGCTAGAACAAGCTCAGATTCGAGTCTCTCCGTGCCCTGTATTTTTCAGGCTGAAAGCAGGTTTTTTTGTTCATACACCTTTTTTGTAAGG